CAAGCTCATTTAGGTTTAGTAATTGAGCTAAGCTTGAGTAGGCTCCGGTTATAGACTTGTAACTATAATTATATATAAATTATTGATTTATTCTATTTTTTTATTTATGAATGGTGCGCGTGCAAATTTATATACTTGATTGATAAAATTTATTAATAATAACAACATTAGTTCATATATATAATCTTCTCTTTTTTTTTTCCTTTTTTTTTCCTCCTCTAATATGTAATTTTTTTTATCTTTCCAAGTTCGAACTTAGCTCGTTTATATAATTGAATTGAATTAAGCCAAACACAAACTTGATTATTTAAACTAGGCTAGGGGTGTTTTGAGAAGATGGTTAAAAGCTGTTTTTTGACTTTTTTTGGCTTTTTTTGTGAGAGATGGAAGTGGGTTAAAAGCTGGAAAGTGGCTTTTAACCCACTTTCCAAAATAGGCAAGCTCAACAAATTTTTAATGAATTAAATTTAAATACCTTAAAACTCAATTTGACACAGTTCATTTACAACCCATAACAAAAGCCACTTTAGTGGTCTTTGTAGTGGTCTTTGTAATTCAAGTTATGACCATAATGCTTGGCCTGGTGTCTACCTGGTGGAATTGGGGTGGCTACTGTGCCTTGTAGTAAGGGTGTTCACGGTTCGGTTGGGATCGAAAAACCTCTAATTCGTCATTTGTCTGCCAAATGGGCGGATTGGAAAAAATCAATCGGCATCTGTCCGCCGAATTGATAGATTAAGCGGATTGGTAGATGGATGCGAATTGGTTTAGCGGTCTAAACTTTTACAAATTTTAAATATAATACAACAACTTGCCAACATTTTTTTTTGGATAATAATCCAATTCAACATAACCAAAAGATTATCAAGTAAATTGTCAAATACCAATGATAAATACATATAAGAAAATCATGCATTATCAAAACTATTTCATTACTTTTTTTATTCAAAAATCATTTAATTTGATTTTTTAAAAAATGACAAAATTAAGCCTTATATTTTCTACACAAAAATGCCAAATATTAGCCCTTGACATTTGATGAAAGGATTTACAAATTGAAAACACAACAGAATATCTAAATAAATTGAAAACATAAAATTTTACAAATTACTAGGGGTGCTCAAGGTTTGGGGTTCGGTTGCAGCCAAAGGAACATCAAATTCGCCATCCGTTCAAAACTAGGCGAATTGGAAAAAATCAATCCACAACCGTCCGTTCGTAATCACGCATTCGTCCAAAATGCAGCGGATCAGTTCGATTCGATTCGATTCGGTTCGGTTCGGTTCGATCGGTTTAGGTGGATCGGAATATCCACTGCTCACCCCTACCCTGTACAACAGTCACTGTTGTGCGGCTGATGAGCCTCATTTTGAGATCTATTTTTATAATCTGAATCGTTTACTTTTTAGGGTACATAGAGTAAAATATAACTGTAAAAAATCAAGTTGATTGGATATTGATAGCCCTTTCATCGAATTGCATTTGTATACAGTTTTATATTTCAAATTACATTTAACATTTATATTTGGGTAAATTACACTTTGTCCCCTTTATGTTTGTCCGCTTTCTTATTTTGACTCTTAAAGCGTTTTTTTTTTTTTTTCACTTTGGCCTTTCATGTTTCAAGTTTTTTTTGGCTTTACTCTTAAAGCTAATTTCTATTCAAAATTAGACAGAAAATGATACATTGATAGTCACGTGAAATAAAAATATTTTATTGTATATAACTCATACTTTTGAGATAAACTCCAATATAATAATATATTTTTCATGTTATGTGGCCGTTATTGTGGCATTTTTTGTCTAATTTTGAACTGGAGTTAGCTTAGAAGTAAAGTAGGAAAAATTTAAAACATGAAGGGTCAAAGTGAGAAAAAATAAACTTTAAAAGCCAAAGTAAGAAAGTGACCAAACATGAAGGGGGCCAAAGTGTATTTACCTTTATATACCGTTTATATTTCAAATTACATTTAACATTTATGTAATTCGATAAAAGAGCTATTGATATCCGATCAATTTGATTTTTTTAAAAATGTATTCTACTTGATGTACACTAAAAAATACACGGTTCGAATCATCAAAATGGGTCTTGAAATGAAGCCCATAAAGAAAAATATTTGAGACTCACAAAAAGCTCCCACAATTTAATCTACACTGAGATAGTTTGATAGGTGGCAACTCTTGATTAGTTACACATCCAATGATATAAAACCTACCTTCCTAACCACATTATGATGGGTGAATTTGTGAGTCTAAAATGTGGGTATCTAGTTTTACTCTTCCATAAAACATTTGATCCATGCATTGATAGGCTGCCTTTGTTAAGGTATCATCCACATATCTGTTCATTTGAATTAGAAAAGAATATACATCCCTGTATATACATATTGACCACTATACCCTTAATAACTTAATAAAAATAACATGTTCTCTAATCTAGTTGAGCTTGGACTTGTAGTGAACTCAATAACGATTAATGCTAGGAACCCATAAATCGTTCACAAAACTGCATACAAAACACTTTTCCAAGCTTACAGTGTGAGCTCCAAATTAAGAACTTCACTTGAAGAAATGACCTTTGTTGGGATTGACGTGGGCAAAGATTTCAGTTGTGAATTGGGTGATCCAAATAACCAAATGGGCATGGCTTGGTGGTGAGAAGACGATTGAGAGTAGTCACTTTCTTGATTGTTTGAGCTTGCTATGCTAGGGCACTGAGCAGGAATAGGATGATCACTTGGCCTGAAATCACAATTGTACACATGCGACAACTAGACCTGTACAGTCAGTAACAGACGCAAGAATTTTAGTTAGAGGGGGCGACATTCAAATTTCACATTTAAATTTTAAATCTTTTATTAATAGCCAAAATCATCATACATAAGTATATCAAAAGATACACTTTTATAGCTATACAAAATAAGAATACTATTCATTTGAATAGGGGTTTCTCAACAAGAGGTTTAATTTGAAAAGCATCATTTTCTTACATTTAAATTGTTATACATTTTTAATGCAGAATTCATTTTTAATGCAGAATTCATTTTTCTCTCCAAATTTTATAATTAATCTTGAGACCTTTATTATTATTTGGAAAAAAAAAATGAATCTTTTAATTGGATTTTTGGACAATGATTTTTTTTTTAAAGCTTTATTATTGAGGGTCTATGGAAAATGAGAAATTTTAAGTTTTACTATTGAAGGTCTTTTCAATAAGATGGAATTTTATCTTGCTTTTATTATTGGAGCAACTATTTTTGACTTTTGTTCCACACTAATAATTATTTATCACCCCTTTTATATAGTGAAATAAAATATGAGCATAAAAAAATACATACTTCACTATATAAATAAATCACAACAAAATTAGCATATAAAAATACCTTACAAACACTCAAAAACTTTTCTTCAGATTTAATTTTCAATTATAATGAAAATTTATTACCATAAAATAATAATTTTTTTTACTATTTACGAATTTTTTAAAAGATATAAAATTTTGGGGTCACCTCTCACGTGGATGATGGGATCCTTGGAGGAGAAGTTATTGATTGGTTTAGGAGTAATGTCAAGGGGCTCTTAACACTCATTGTGATTGGTGTAGAGAATGAGACTCATGATTTTGTGTTAGGTGATTAAAGAATATAAGAAGACATGAGATTTGTGAATGGCCTGGGACATAGTCACATAGTGCCCCGGACCAACCAATAATGTTGTTATATAATATGAGAATTGAAAGTGAAACTATTTTGGTAATGGAAAATTTACCATATCAAAGAGGCTTGAACTGCCGCTTCCTCTTTGTTGAGGTTGGCCTGCCTTAGAAAATACTTCTGAGCATGACTGGCAACTTGGGTTGGAGTCCTTGTAGTCACAAAATTTTTGGAAATTCCCCTCCAATCACCCTTGCCTAGCTTCTCAAGCCCGACTAGAAATGTCCAATGCTCCTCCTCCGCCCACGGCACTCCTCATCATCCAATATTCATGAATATCACCACCAGAGCCATGAATATTAGAGCATGGAACATCTGTCCCATTTTCTGTCTCGTCTTCCGTCTCATGCCCACCTTGTATGAGACAGTGAATGAGCGGAACAGATGGTCCCACGTCGAAATATCATATATAAGAATATTGGAATTGGCAAATATGAAAATAGAATATGAACTTGTCTAGATTTAGTAGTAGAGTGTGATAAATTTGGAGCCTCTGGCCTAGAAAATGTGAAAGAAATAGGATGCTTAAAGGATTGTTGCCACTGATAGAAATTAAGGGCATCCAAGAACATAGCATGGTTACTTTGGATCCATGAAACCATATGAATAATGAAACCAAACATAAAATAACTTGAGAAAAGGATTGAAAGAAAGATCAAGGATGAGTTGAGGTGAGTGAAAAATAAAGAACATATAAAGTGCCATATTTTATAAAGATAAAACAAAAGCATGTATTAAAATTCAAAATTGATAGTCCATAACTACCATGTCGTCATAAGTTTTAAACTTCTCTTAACTTTTTTTTTAAATTTAAAATACAAATTTATTGACATGAATAATTTAATCATAAAATGGATCCATTTTATGTTGAAATTTCTTCGAAATGGAAAAAGAAAACTCAAAAGAGAAAATAGAAAAAAGACGTGCATGCTAATAGTGTAAGGCAAGTCATATGAGAACAAACAATTACAAAAAAGTCGGTCCCAGTGTACAAAACTCCCGTTATTGAAAAATTTAGGAAAGCGGCAGACTTACTCCTCATTTTGGAGAGGCTATTTTCAAGGTTTGAACCCAATATGCCTAAATCACAATGGAACAATCTTATCACTGCACCAAGGTTTGAACAGTACATATCATTGTAGGATCTAAGACGGTCAGATGTATGCAAGGACAGCCTTACCCCATGTATATGGAGAGGCCTACCCTTCTAAACTCATGGTGCCTATATCACAGTAGAACAACCTTATCGTTGCACATAGGCCTACCCTTCTAATTTTTTCCCCAACCTTCCAAAAATCTACTAAACCCATGTGAGGGAAGATGGGCGGAGAGCATCTTCCATGAAAGCCAAACATGCAAAACAAGAAAACAATGGAAACAGAAGTAATTCCATACCCTTCTTCCTCTCCTCAGGATGATGACCAGAGAGACCATCAGAAAAATAACCTTGGACATAAGTCTTATCAGAATTTTCATTGATGGAAGAGACTCGCGACGAAGAAGGGGATGAGGAAGATGAGGCTGCTGGAGAGGAAGATATACAGTCCATGCTGAAACTCTTCTTGATCTTGGCAATAGAAGATGATGATGAAGATGGTGATGAAGAAGAGGGTATGTCAAATTGAACCCCAAAGAACCTTAGTCCATCAACAACTGTACCTCTGTATGTGGTGCAAGACCGTGAGTTGTGCCCTATGTTTCCACAATGTGAACACTTTCTGCCCATTTTCACCCTCACAAAGCTCATACCCACAATACCCACATCCAGAGAGAGGGAGAGGGAGAGAGTTCAATAATAACAATTATGTTTGGTTCTTTATGTATATATTAACAGTAGGTACAAATGCGATGCGATTGCAAGTGTAGATCTAAATTTTTTTTTGATGACTTTAGGTGATTTAATAAATTAAGAAGATGGATTAATTTTGAAAACAGTTTAGAGAAAGAAAAATGCTTTGGGACCCCCAAAGTTGGGACCCCATGACTCCCAAAATGACGTGGACTAATCATGTGTTTTTGTTTTTTTTTTCTTTCCTTCATTCCTAGACCAATTACAAATGAGTGGGAGATTATGGGAATTATGTTTTTTTGGGAGTTCATGGTATTGTTAATTTTTTTCGTCTAAATTGTATGTTTTTAATAATAGAATAGATATATGATGTTTGAGATGGGGTTTTGGAAAATGGATGCACGCCAAGAGTAGATGATTGGATGGACAAAGTTTTGGGTGGAATATAGTTCCAACTCGAGTTTCTTTTACTAGAAAATAACTTGAATCATTATGGACGATTTGTGAATTTAATTCGTTATGGATTATTTGTCTTCAAAATTCATGCGTGTTCCTTCATTTTCAATGCATTCCCAACTTAAAAGATGTGATAAAATTTTTAAAATATGAATATTTTAAAGTACAATCATATGTTTGAAAGTCCATTAAGATAGATGAATATGAATTTTGATAACAAAAAATCCTGTGTCATCTAAATATATATCTTTGTCCTCAAGTATGGATTATATAATATATATATGTAGCAATGGAGGTGGGTGGGACCCCTGAAAATTTGTGTTCTCCCCATGCATTGCATGTCATGGTATAAGCAGACATACATATATATATATATATATATATTGTGTTTGTCCACACAAACATGTAGTGCTGTTCTTCTCAAGCAGGACCAAATTTGTTGCCACAGAGTGGTCATGATCATGTACCATCAGTATCACCAATAAAGGCCAAAATGATTTATGTATCTGCTGATTAGTAGTGTTGGCTTTTGTGGCAAAAAATGGCTAATACAACTATACCTTAAAATTAGCATGTAAAAACACTCTACTAAGAACAATACCTATGTTTAATTGCAAAACTAGTGGAAAGAGACTCTAAAGGAGCCGAGGCGAGTTTAATAACTGATTGTTCAAGATTAATATAAATTTCCTCATGAGTTTTAAAATATATTCATGAGTATGCTTAGCATTCGAGAAGATCTCAAACGAGTTTCAAGTGAGATTAGTTTGAGTAGTTTAGTTTTTTTTATATAGTATAGTGTATATAAATTTTTTGAGTCAAGTAAAAGATGAGCTCAAAAAATTAATTAACGAGTTTCAAAAAATATTTAAACTTAAATTATTTACCTAATGAATTGATCTCGAATTAATGAACAAAAAGAGAGAGATTCTCTGTCTAATGGGTGGTTAGGAGACTTAGGATAAGAGAGAACAGTATCATAGACAATGAAGATTTCGAAAGCTGATTTTGATCAACCAACAACATTTTGATGAAAAATTCTCTAAAATCATGTCCTTATATTTTCAACATTCAATTATCCAATGGAGGAGATGAGAGAAAATAATTTGAGTATAAGATGGCTTTGAATGTTCAAAATTTCTGTTAATTCCACCCAAATTTTAGGAAGGTGGATTCTTTATATAATGTTAGATCACAAGACAAAATATTCTCTTCAATGATTTCTAAAGACAAACAGTCATAAGAGGCTAAAAATTGGAATGAGAATACTCTTTCTAAAAGCCAAAACTCTATCCATGCCGTACCAATTCAAACAGCCAATGGACCAATTACCCCAAATACATTCTCTAATTAATTATCAACATTTTTATTGAAAAAGTTTTTTTTTTTTTTTTAAAAAAAAGAAAACAAAATCAAGTTAATATAGAAAATGTATTTAGAATGATATATCAATGATATTTCTGAAATTAAAAATCATCTTGTTTTATGATGAGTAGAGTCTCCAACAATATTGTATAAGCATCTCCATACATGGATTAAACACGAAAGGATAGAATCAGCCTAGTTGAACCTAAGCTCTTGTTTATTGTTTTTTTTTTTTTTGTGACAAATCCAAGCCCCTACCACCTGCTACAGGCTTTGATGGAATTAAAAATTATCCCAATGAGTGACTTATTTTGAAATGAATAACCCCAATTAAAGCATAGTACAAAAATTATGTATCTTTTATATTTACAAGCATATTCCTATTTTTTTTATCTGTAAATTGAGATTGATTCTTGCTTAGGCTAAATTACGGCCCTTTTTGTATTCGCTGCAATTGTGTTCATTGACTCAGATTACACAAAAAATTAAGTTTTGGAATTATAATTTGAGTGTGGAAAATTTGTTTGGTGGAAGAGTTTTGAATTGGGTGAAGAATTTTTGATGTGACATATGATATTTTATACAAAAATTTACAACTCATAACCAAACACACAATTCAAAATTCTATTAAATCTCACAAAAAAAATTTAAAAATTCAGAAAATATTTTTTTTGAATAAATAAAAATTAACATGGGTCAATTGTAAAAAAAAAAAAAAAAATTGCACTGTTCCGATCAACCGGCCGGACATCTGGTTAGGCCAAATTTGAATTTTTTTTTTTGAAAATCGCGCCTGAGAGAGTTTTCTGCAGAGTTTTCTCTTTGTTGTGGAAATATAGTTTGAAAGCTATATCCAAACATGAAGTTAGAATGTATAGGTAGAATTATATTTTCAAAATCGTTCCAAACGATGCCTAAAATTTTACAATGATCACTTAACCATCTTTCAAATCATATTGTGCAGACCAAAAAAGAAGATTTATATGCTGGACCTTGGATTAGATATTGTTGCCATTGATAAATTCTTGGACTGAATATGAGGGCAAGAACAGGATATTATCTTTCCCATATTTGCAAACCACAATGCTATGGACTCAGGGTTTTCTAGATGAAATATTTGTGTGGTGAAAATTAAATTGGTATAGTGTAGGTTTAAGTATGAAATGAATATGAGTCATAAAATATTGTTTCTAAGGGGTTGTTTGGGGTGTCCTAAATAAGTACACTTTTTGTCTTTTTGGACTAAAAAATTGAGGTTGAAAATATAGATGTTTGGGTTAACATTTTGACTTTTTATTGAAAAATGTGTAATAAAAAATTGTAAAAATTGATTTATAAGGAAAAATTTGAATTGGGAGTTGTGCAACCGTAATTGTTGACTTTTGATGCTTTTGGTGAATAGTGTTAACTTTTTAACTTTTTAAGTAACTTTTTGTCTTTTTATCTTTTTTGAAAGATCCCAAACTTGCCCTAAATAAAATTCAGGATAAAATTTATGGGACTGTAGCATTACTACCACATGGGATTAAGGGAATTTGGCAAACTAGAGAGAATGATTTTCTTGTCATCCAAAATGTTGAGGGAGAATGATTCTTCTTTGGGTTAATTATACTTAGTATCATGTACTTTTACCATAATTTTATTTTGGTCTATTCATTTTCAATTGTGATAGTTAACCGTTCATATTTTAAATCAAGTTACGATATCACATTTCTGTTCATTTATTGTTAATGGGATTGAAGAAAATTAAAAAGTGAAAGAACTAAAATGAAATTTTAATGAGACTGCAAAGACTTAAGTGAGATTTTGATTAAAGTGTCGAAATGTTAATAAGACAAAAAAAAATGTCACGTTTAGCTTACATGACAAGTTCTGTTAACTTTATTAACAGTAGATTAACAGAAGAGTGACATTACGACTTTACTTAAAGTATGAGAGTTGACTGTTACAATTGAAAGTGAATAGACTAAAATGAGGCTATAGTGAAAGTGCAAGGGTGTTAAACGTAATAAACCCTTCTTTTCATTCAAAATGTTGAGAAAAAAAGGCAAAGAAAAAGAAAAATGAAAAAAAAAAAATCTTTTTCTTTTTCTGTTCCCTCCACAAATTTAAAATTTACCTAAGATTCAAACACACCATTATTAGTAATCACCTCCCAACAAAAAATATAATCAAGTTGATGATCATCCTGGAATAATAAAATGCTAATGCTGAATGATTAAACAATCATTATCTCTCAAATATGCTTTCAGTACAACCCCCAAAAGCATAAACCTTTCAGAGAAAGCATATGGCCCAGATGTGATTATCCAAGCATATCAGATGGTGAAGCAATTAGAAATCATTTTTGTGTTTGGAGTACAAAATCACTTAAGTCATGGATGAGAAGTACTTTCATACCGGATAATAAAAAACAAAGGGTAAATTATACTTTGCCCCTTAAAGTTTCACCAATTTCTTATTTTGGCCTTTTAAGTTTGATTATTTTCATTTTGACCCTTCATATTTGCAATCCTTCCCGTTTTGACCCTTTAGGTTTGATTTTTCTCACTTTGGCCCTTTATGTTTGCAATTATTCCCACTTTGATCCTTCATGTTTGTAATCTTTCTCACTTTATTGCTAGATTAACTTCCATCCAAAAAACTAACATAATCTGCCACATCAGCAACACATCAGCTCCATGTGTAATGTAAAAAATTCACTAAATATGCAAAAAATGAAAAATAGAAAACAAAAAAATTGAATTTTTTTTTTAGTCTTTAGTGAACTTATTTTTTTTTTTCAAATTTATTCATAAACATTATTACGTTATAGATGAATCTAGATTAGATGCGCCTAAAAAAATTAAAACAAATTTAACTAAAAAAAAGAAAAAAATTTACTAAAGATGAAAAAAAATGAAAATATACTGACTTAAACATTTGTATTGTCAATTATGAAATGAAAAGTTTACTATCATTTTTTTTCGCCTTTAGTGATTTTTTTCTTTTTTTTAGTTAAATTTGTTTTTATTTTTTTAGGTGCATCTAATCTAGATGCATCTATAATGTAATAATGTTTATGAATAAATTTGAAAAAAAAATTCACTAAAGACTAAAAAAAAAAAAAATCAATTTTTTTGTTTTCTATTTTTTATTTTTTGCATCTTTAATGAATTTTTTGCATCACACATGAAGCTGATGTGTTGGTGATGTGGCAGATTCTATTAGTTTTTTGGATGGAAGTTAGTCT